TGCCCCAGCCCAGCTCTCTCAGCCTGGCTCAAGAGCAGAGCTGATCCAGTCATCGCATCAGATCCGGGGCCTCCTCCCCACATCCCTCTGGTGTTGGGGGCCCCAAAGATGTGAGCCCCCGTTCCTGTGAGCAGAGCTGCCCGGCAGGTCCTCACGGGCCACGGTGTCCCTAATGCGGCTGGGTATGTGTCATCCCAACATCCCAGGTGGGAGTGACAGAGCTGCAGACAAACAGGGCAGGATACAATAGCCAGGAACGGGGGACTGGAGAGGAAGGAAGGAAGGAAGGGAGGTAAGGGGCTGCCCAATGCAGGCAGGGGGGCTGTAGGACGAAGATGGACAAGCTGCTCTGAGGGTGTGTGAAAGGCAGGAAGGAATGTGAGGGACCAGAGAGGAAGGGCATGAAGGACCAAGGAATGTTGCCTGAGAGCAGTGGGACACAGGGTCCAAAGGCCGCAGCGGTGGCCCCTTCCTCACCCCCCTTTTGGTGCCGAGACCTCTTTGCTGGCCCAGGGAGGTGCCATCCTGGCTCCCCGCTGCCAACCCCCTGCCTCCAGCATCCCAGCGAAGGGGACAAACACCAAACTCACCCGAGCGCAGGCAGCTCCTGCTCTGACAACGCCTTTGGAGCCCAGACGGCCACTGCTGCGGCCGCGGCCACCACCTCCTCCTTGCACAGCAGCAGCTTCGACACCGCCAGGGATGCACCACCCATCTGTGCGTGAGAAGCTCTCCCAGCCACTCCCCACCATGGTGCAAGCTGAGATGGGGGAGACACAGCCAAATCCTAAGGGGCCATTGCTCACTGTGAGGACAAACACAGGGTCACAGAATCAACTGGGCTGGAAAAGACCTTTAAGATCCCAATAAGGTCCCTCCTGAGCCTCCTCTTCTCCACACTAAACCCCCCAGGTCCCTCAGCCCTTCCCCATCACACTTGTGCTCCAGGCCCTGCACCAGCTCCGGTGCCCTCCTCTGGCCCCACTCCAGCACCTCATCCAGCAACATCACTCACTGGCTGCTCCACACCAAGCCTGGGATGAGCAACATTCCCACCAGGCTCTGCCCAGCTCCCGTCCTCCAACAGCTGCCAGAAAACAATTACTATATGTAGATTGTTTATTGATTCCAACATATTAATAGATTGGATAATAAACAGTACTTTTAAACATTCTCTTAACCAAAAATATAACAAATATTTACAATCACTCAGTAAAAATACAAAAAGCATACAGAGGCACTGTCTTTCTAAAAGACATAAGTGTAAGAGGTATCAAAAAATAGGAGACAAACATTGCTTGTTACAGAATACTTTACAATCACTGACTTGTGCAGTACAATTGCTATTGGAATATCATTACATCTGTGCAGTTTTGCCAATATGCTCACATATTTAGAATTTAATTAATACCAAGCTAAACTGCATTCCAGGTATATCAAAAATAAAGAGAAAACAATAAAAAGCACAACAGAAGCAAAAGCTGGGTGGGGAATTCAAGGTAATGACCCTCTATACAAGCGTTCTAAAATATAATGTGTAAAGCTTTTCTAAAGAGAGAGTATCCCTTTTTCCTTGTTTCTTTTCGCAAAGGCAGTGGCAAGTTTATCCTTAAAATCAAAATGAATTCTGATGTTTGATAAAAACTTTATAGACAGGTTCCTATTTCCACTGGTGCCTGCATGAAATGACGTGGGAGATGATGAAAGAGGTTTTGCACCCAAGTGGCGTCAGGGACAGATCCAGCCCACGGGTAACCGGACTGTCCTGTGCCTCCGGTGGGTGCAGGCAGCCCTCAGTGCACCGTGTGCCCCATCCCAAGCAATGGGCTCGGACCATCTCCCAGCGAAGCTCCGCTCACCTGTGGAACTCCTTATGGGAGTCAAGGCAAAACAAAGAGCCAGGAACGCGACACGCTGCCCATCATCAGCCAACATCCACCCGCTCCTGCACGTCCCCGCTGCAACAGTGTGTGCTGCGGCATCTGCAGGCACCACCTCTCCAGCACCTGGTATATTTGGAGATGAAACCAGCACACAGAAGCTCCATCATCTCATTTCCCCCCTTCTGCAACTGGAGGGGCCAATGAGGTTTTACACAAGTGCACTGATTTTTCAGGAATTGCTTGGAAGTTTCAGATTTAGAAAGCATAATGAAATACTGTGTGGTTAAATCACAAATACCTGAATCATCTCTTCCACCTGAAAGTCCAGAGCAAACAAACAGCAGAAGGTGAGCAAGCTGAGGGCAGTGGAAGAACGTGACACGGGGCATTTTAACTGTTCATCCAAATCAGAGCCTGAGTTAGAGGAACCCGGCAGAGGTACCAAGTCTGGGATCCTGGATCCCGAAAACACCGATAAAGCAGTGTACAACAGGTACTAACCCCCACCCCACATCCATCCGAGCGACTGAAAAAAGGGATAACATCTCTTCAAATCCATACCAGACACACTACATTTGGCTACCAGCCCCGATCAATGTGATCGGTTTAGTTAAGAACAAACAAACAAAAGCTCCCAGCACGGACCAGCGGAGGCAAACCACACGGTGCGGGGAGGGGAAGCAGGAGGAGCTCGTCTGTCCATGGGTTAGGCAGGAGTTATTTACACCGGCTGCGTTGGATAGTAGGAAAATATGATTAACAAGACTTTGACTCACTTGAAACACTCGCCAGTGTCCGGACGAGCCCCGCAGAGCAGCGGACGCTGCTGATGTGCAAACACCATGTGTTGGTGGGCATTTAGTCAATGGCTCTTTCTGGAGAGCCCAGGCTTGCTCCTGGAGGAGCCTGACCGTATCCTCAGGGACAGCACTATGGGCTTGGAGGGAAGGAGGAAGTCGCTTCAGTTACAACCCCTCATCCCTCCTGTTTTTGTTCAACGGGCTGAAATGAACTACAGCTCAACACCCGAGGGCACAGGAACCGTGTGATTCAATTCACCTGGCACAACACAGACCATTCTCTGACGAAAAACTGTCGTGCACTCCACGTAGGAGTTCAGTTAACAAGAAACTAGAGCTGACAGTCGGATTGCTCAGACTTGGGTTGACATCCCAGAAAAAGATCAATTCAACAGTTATATTATCAACGTTACATGTGCTGAAAATAATCTCTGTGCCCTGCAATGCTCTCACACTGACATGAATCTTAATTCATTAAGGCCTGTGCAGGTTCGTTGTGTTCATTAAGGCCTCGAAAAAGCAAAATGTGTTTATTGTTATACCTCAACTGGGGTTTAATATATTTGCTCCTCACTTACTTGTGCCAACCAATCAGTCAGGAACGAGGCATCCCTTCCTCAGCATCACTGTTGAGTTACATCTTCCAAACTCCAATCGCTGTGGGTAAGCTCCAGCCACAAGGTAACACTGAACCTGGTATCACTATGAACACGGACACAGGCTGGGTCATACCCACTCCCCCAGCCCCATCAGTCCCAGGCTGTGACGGGGAAAGCACATTGAAGGCTTTGGGTTGTTTTTGGTACTTGTGTCATTCTCAGAGAACACTGCATTCCCCTGCACCCCCTGCACACATACAGGAAAAGAAAAAACAAACCTTAAAGCTCTTCACAACTATGGATATAGAAATCATTTTTGAGGCACTGTAAAAATGACAAACATCTTCCTAGCTTAGGCTGTAAACATCACAACAAAGATTTACAATTAAATGTTTAAATACATATTCACACATTCATGTCCAATTTTAACACTAGAATGGGGCACCATGTGCTAGAAGGAAGAAAGAAAGAAAGAAAGAAAACTGCAGGTATTTCCAGTTTTACCCCTCCGGGCTCTGGCTGGCTAAGCAAAATCAAACAAGCAATTCAGCTGACCGTGGTTAAACACCAGAATCATGTGTGAATACTGCCTGGCTGGAAGTCAAAGCTGTCATTGACATCAACAGCACCAGGATTTTAACCTAGGATTTAAAACAGTGTATTTTGAGACCATCTGTATTTCCCAGATGAACACAACAGAGGTTTTTAACCCATCATAAAACCCATTATACCCTTATATAAGCACTATGTCATTGACTATCCAGTTTCACTAATTTTACTGTGAAATGAGGGCGATTTAGAATGTCTTTTAAAGATAACCTTTGCACCCAAATCCTGTGCAGCTCTGGTAGAAGGCCAGGACACGTGGGACGATCTTAAAACCCACAACACACAGTTCAAGCTTTGGTTTCTAACAACAGGCTTTGCATGTGGAACTCTGCAGGGCAGAACCTGGAGAAGCTTCAAGCTCCCCTGCCAGCCACAGCCTCCACATTTCAAACTGTTAACAGGGGAACAGGGCAATTCTTGCCTTAGTTGGCTGGCAGCTAAAATACTCCCAAATATACTTTCAAGGGGGAGGGTTTTCGCTGTGTCCAGGTAGGAGGGAGCAGCAGACTGTGCTGCTCTGCAGGGCTTTGTGCTCCATCTAGATTGAATCTAAGACCACTCTAAAATCCACCTATTTCTGCACCTGGTAATGTTCTGTGCCCAGTTTCCTGTGTTTACTTTGAGAGCCCGACAGTTTGTGTAGCTACTTCACTATCACTTTGACTAAACATTTACATTAGCCAACCAGAGCACTCCCAACACAAATAAAGGAAATTCCCATCAAAAAAAGATTTTAAATTAATAAATTATTTTCAGATACTTCAGCAACGTCCTTCGTTTTTGCTGACACTTTGATATATTCTTTCTTTTAAAGTTCATAAAATAACACTCTTAGACTTATAATGGTCATGTAGAAAATTAATGACAATGGAAAACTACCCAAGGATTATATGGTATCATACAGAAGAATGCTTCCAAGTGTCAAGTGGTGGTGACAACTGGTCCTCCCAAATGCATGAAGCCTGGTCCATCTCTGGATACCAAGGTCGGTATCCAGGCAGTCAGAACACTCCTTGAAAATGGTTTGCTATTTCACAGGCAGAAATAGCTTTCTTAGGCTGTGGTGGACTGAAGTAAGGTAGAGATGTGATCCAACCCGTTCCATCTTGTCCGTGACAGAGGCAAATGCAATGTCTGAGGTTAGTAGCAGCAAGTCGTTAGCACTGGCTAACAGAATCGTGTGGTCCTTCTCCCCACATCCTTTGTGTTATGGTTTACAGAAATAGCCCAATGGTTACACTGCTGATACTTGTTCATCTTCTGCAAGACAAGAGGAAACGAAGAGTCAATTAGTCCATCAGTCCCTTGCCCCAGACACCGAGGGTACAGACCGATACCCCGCTATTTGATTACAGTGATTCTGTGAAGACTTCACTAATTCATCATGATGTTTTCACTGTCTTAATCATTAACCACTACATATTCAGTATTGCCATTAATACCCCAGATTACTTGAGGATTTCATAATAGCCATACAATAAAGATGTATTGCAAAACAGAAAATCCCAGATCCTCTGAAAAATTATTAGCATGCAGCTCCCAAGATGCCAAAAGCTATAGATTTGGGAGAAAAGCCAGTAAACTTACTTCCCATCATGCAGTGGGCGTTGTATCCCAAATAAAATTAACCAAGCACTTTAAAAATAGGTGTATCTAAAAGTGTGTGGTTAAATTTAGTTTAGAAAATTTGGGATTCAGATGTTTGAAGCAATTACGTCCTTATTTTTACATCAAAACCATTGAACACCACAACTGAATGAATGTCTGACAACTTCACGTTTTACCGTAAGTTTGAACTGAAGTACTAAGACACGTTAAATACTGTTTACATATTTTGAAGGGCCAAGATAGGATCATTTTGCATCAGAAATTGCTTTCATCTAAATCCAGGCTCATTTGAAACCCGACTGAAATGGATGGAAACCACAACATTCTAATAAAAAATGAGTTCAGTAGCAAAGGGCACAGAGAGATCACATCAGTGCACAGGGATTAAAAGCAAATCAGCAGATAAAACAATTAAGTAGAAATTCCCCTGACTTGATGTTCTGACACAATATAAGAGCAGTCTTTTGCAGAAGAATCTCTTGCATTTTGGTGACCCCATATGTGCTATGCTCACAGCGTTGGCTGTTGCTTCAAACAAGATCATGACAAATGTGACTGGAAGAGACACTGTCAGGCCACGCTGGGCTGAGAAGTCAGGTTTTATCGAACCTGCTTTTCAGAAGAACAGAAATTCACTGTTATTTTGCTCAATATTTTTCAACTCAACCTTCAGAAATCTCTGTTGAGGAATAAACAGCTTAACAGGAGCACATGGGAATACAAAAGGGAAACAAGAGTCATACAGCACCCCAGCAAATCCAAAAGTACTCATTTTTGGTCATCATTCTGATGCCATTCTAAAGCAGGGGGACACCAGTTAATCAACCCAGAGAGGCTGGAGCTTTCCCACGTGTAATTTATAGCCTGACAGTGTCCCTTTAGAGTGAGCATCACCACTGAGAGGGGACAGATTTTAAAGAAAACAAAATAGTATCTACATGCTCTTAAGTATCGCAGTTGTGCTTTGGGAGAGCTCATATGTATATTTTTATATATATATATTTATAGGTCATTTAGAGTGTTTGGTGTCAACATGCTTTTCCTAAAGAGAAGGCATTCTTTTTCTTTTCTAGACGTGTATACACATGCAGACATATATGCATGTGCATACAGCCATACAAACGTGTTTGTATAGGTAGAGATTAACCAAGTCTTAATCTCCAAGAATGACCAAGAGAAAGCCCAGACCAGATTCCCACAGCAGTTCAGTTAACATCTACCGAGCCAAGTGTTGCACATACCATCCTCTTCACTATCTGCGTCAGTCATATCTGCTAGTTTGGGGTTGGACGGCTGCCGACTATGCCACTGAGGCATCTTCGATGCAATACAGGCCACCGGTTCACTACCGAGAGGAGCTGATGAAAGTCTAGAGAGGTCACTGTGCAGCATCTTTGACCTCTGCACTGCCACACTATAGTCTGGAGGTTTTAGGTGTGGGTGATGGGGCGATCCTTCCTTTATGTCCGCTAAAGATATCCCCATATATCCCGGAGGGGTGGGCGGTGGCTCCCTATACCTATCGTCCTTCTTAGGTGAGGTGACACAGTACACTGGCACAAGAAATAAGCAATGGAAATGTTAAAGAAGAAAACAAAGGAAACAAAACGTTAAAAAATCATGAAATGTTACAATGGCAAAACAGAAACTGATAACAAAATGCAAATGCAGAAACACTGGTTATAATGACAGCAGATATTTACGCTTTCATTTATGTTTTCTATTTATTTTAAGAAGCCAGAGTGGCAAGAGAACCCATGAACTCATTAGTCATGATGCCAGTTGAGTGGAAACGGCACTGTAACCTCTACATTCACCTTGCAATTACAGTGCTCATCATAGCCCCTACTCCTGTGGCACTGCTTCCCAGTGGGATGCTGTGAGCTCCCAGTATGAATGGAGAGCCAGCACAACGATGCTGCCAGCCGAGCCTGCAGCCACTTAGTGACAGGCCAGGAAACTAAAGAAATTCAGGCCACCAGCCCAAAATGACTTTGCACAGTGTGTGAGCAACTGACAGCAAGAACTGCTGGTTGACTTCCAACAACATCCCCTGCATCACCCGAAAGGGTGATGAACAGAAGTTCATTGTAACAAAGCATCATTGTACCAACTGATGTGTAATAAGACATTAAACCAACCAATCAGCAATACTACAGGAAGAAAAAAATAGTATAACTGTAGAATGGTTTGGGTTGGAAAGGACCTTCAAAGGTCATCTAGTCCAACCCCCTGCAATGAGCAGGGACACCTTCAACTAGAACAGGTTGCTCAGAACCACATCCAGCCTGGCCTTACCACATACAACTGCACCCATGAGGCAAACTGTATATTCATTATCTCTCATTTTCTATTAGAAAATAATGGCTTATCATGTCCACACATTAGTTATTTAGTTTTCTTTGGGTTTTTGTTTTGTTCTCTTTTAAACCTGTATCTTAACCTGTGTTCTCTGTTTATAAGTGAGAAATAACCAGGAACAGCCATGGAAACAAAAGCCTTTGGAAAGGCTGCATTCCACCTTTTGCAGCCAGAAAAAGCCTACACTCAATAATATTTATGTGCAATGTCCATGCCATATAATTCATCTTTTGCCTTCCTGCCCCGTGCATCAGCAGTTCAGGCCACGCAGGCCCTCAACCCAAAACTTAACTCTTTGAAGTTCCCTTCCCTCCCGCCTGCCCCCAGGTCTAGGGCTCTTGTGCATGTTAAATTGGGCTTTTCCATGTACACGTTGCAACAGGAGAGTTTCAAAGCTGGGATAAGGTTAAACATCTACTAGTTGGGTGAATTGGCATTCTTCTTGTGGATACATTTTAAACAGTGCATCAGCAACTCCAGTATGTTCTTATCTTGAAGAATGTGAAAGGATGAAAATAAAGGAGTATTTCTTATTGTATTGTGGACTTGGGAGATTCTGGGCGCTGGTATCATGAACAAGAGCTAGTTCATATCTGATGGCCTTGGTTCATGTTTGGGCTTATAGTAAAATAGTATATGAATTCACACAGTCTGGTCTTTAGTGGAAACACGTGGGTACAGGCAGAGATTTATATGCTGATTTACAGGAATCATTTTCGTTGATCTAGCATTTAACTGGGCCCCTATGAGAAAGCAGGGGAAGCGAAGGTTTTCTTCTCCCCAGAGGGCTGGGTCCTCTGGGCAAACCACCTTCTGTCTGCATTGGATTTGCAGGAGGGCTGACCAGGGCTGGTATACTGCTCTCTAAAGGGGAAGGCTTCAGGCTTCCTAGAGCTAATATCTAGCTAATAGCCAGAGCTAATATCTACAATGAAAGTAGGAATAACATGCCCTTTTGTAAAGTTCCAATTTATAATATTCCACAAACTCAATCAAAACAAAAAGATTCTAAAAGCATTTAATGCCCATGGCATTAAGAGCCCTTAATTTGTCACCCACCCAGAGCCACAGGTGGTCACAAAACCCTTTCACAAGGAATTCCCCTTTCCACTTACTCAAATTACTCACTTTGTAAAGAAACTAAGGTGCAATTACACACAGTGGTTAAGGGAAATGTAACTAAAAGGCAGTGATACAAATTTTGATGCCTGCTATAGGTAAAAGAAATGGAAAAGCTTTTCCCTTTGGATGCAGAGCAATGGCACATCACCGCTCTGCACCTCCTCTGCTGGTAAAGCAAAGGTTGCTGCAAGACATGTTCGATGTTGCAGGGGTGGAGATGTGTGTGAAGTTACAAAGCCATTGCATTTACTTACTCTGCCAAGCCCGCGTTCTGCCACTGGTATGTGGGCAGCTGCCTTTCCAGCTCTGTTTTCAAGGTTTCAGGCAATAAAGCTTGTGCCAACTCTTTTGGGGGACTATTCAACACCAGTGCTCATTAAGCAGATGAGCTGAGGATTCGTGTTTTGTTTATTCTGAACTCGTGCAGTCATTACAGACTGGCAACAAGCTGTTTGTAGAGAGTAAGCAAATAACGTGAAAATACCTTTGGCATATTGCATGGCACTAGCAGATTTGCATGTGCACACCAGAGATCATACCCACCTATGTTTAGATCTTTGCTTAAGCAGACATATGCACACTCTACCAAAGCATGGCACTGGGTGTTTCTTACCAGCGTGCTGGACTGCACAAAGGTGGCAAGCTGCACGGTGCAGTATCTAAACACCTAACACCATCTCCTGAAACAGCTCAGAGGCTCCTAAAAGCCTGCAAGGGCAGAGCCCATGCACCGGAGTGAGCTGTGAGCAAGGCAAGGCTCCACCATGCTCATAGAATGGTTAGAGTTGGGATTCTAAGGTTGCTGCCTTTCTTCTCCAAAGTCAAAGAGAAGGAATGCAATCCAAAACCTCCGCCCTACGTGCAATGCTTATGCAGGCAATTACCTTTGATAACATAAACCCCTCTAGCAATCTAGTCAGTAATTAAATTGCATTTCGGCTGCACCTTTGACTTACAGTTTAGATAGCTTCGCACTCCACTTTTTATCTTCTTCCTAAGCCAGTTCCTTTAGTTTTGGCTGCTAAACTCACTAGGACAGGGAAAGTCAGTCTCGGTAGAATTACGCATCTTTGAAAAGACATTCTACATGTTTTTCTCCTTTCATATGTAGCCAAATTGCAGCTGTATAATCAAATAAATGGCAGTTTAACATAGCAAAGATAGGCAGGGAGTTGGCTTTGCCCTTGAGCTTCCAGAAACAGAAGCCCTATGGATGAAAGGTGCTCCAGCTCTGAAGAGGTGGGAGAGCTCCACACCCCTCAGCAGTCACACTCCTCCCTCTTGGGTTCATGGAAAGCCTGGATTATATGGCCTTCAAGAGGCCAAGCTTATTGTTCCTTGTCAGAGGAACGTCGACAGTGATGACTGTTTCCAAAATCACCCAAAAACCAAAAAGGCCATACTACGGAGAGGAACTGCCTGACATCTTCTTGCAGATACTTCTGCAGACCCATAAAGCGACTGGGAAGTGGGCTGGTTTATTATTTCAATTTTCCTAATGCAAAAGAAGGTGCCTTGAAAACACACTGTTTGCGTAGTGTTCTGATTAAAACCACATGGAAAGCTGAATTTAACATGCCATCCAGCCCCCAGACCTGCTGATGTCATTTCTTAACAACTTCATACCAAAATGAAAAACAGATGGAGAAGCTTCCATAAGCTGTTGGCTCACTTACCTATCAGGCCTTTCTCTGTACTCGAAGTAACTGTTTTGTAAGTTGTATCAGCGCCTGGTTTAGAGTCCAAAACCTCTGTCTGCTCGGCTGTCGAGTTCTCCAGCCCCCTCCGCTTAATTGTCCCATAGTTTGTTTCATAGGTGTCTGAGAGTGAGCTGGAGGAGGCCCAGCTCTGCCGAGACTGATCCGGCTCCACGCTGGCTTTCGACTGCCTGTTGGTTTTGGAAAAGGCTTCCGAATACAAGTAAGCCTCCTCAGAGTAACAGTTTGTGGGATCCACTTCAGCTATGGGTCCGTCCAGCTGCGTGTGACGGTAAGAATTGAGGAGATCCCAGCTCTTCTGGTTTGGGATATTCTGGAAGTTGTCATGAGAACTACTTGAGCATGAAGTCCAGCTTCCCCGGCCGCTATCTGCTGCCTCTACTGTGATGTGCTCGTGGGAGATCTCCTCGTTGCTCATGGAGGATGTGAAAGCCATCCCTCTGATGAGAGCAGGCCTACTGATGGACCAGCTACAATTGAACAACAGGAAAAACACTCATAAGCTTTTAGAACAAAACGGATGTACTTAGGGACAATTACCTGGTTTTAGGACAGGTAAGCAGCAAGGTCAAGGCACACAGGAGCACTGCCAAGAGACACAGCTATCCCCAAGGGAATAACAAGTCTCCAACAGGCATTTACAGGCATGAACCCAGATCCATAAAAATCTGATCTGCAGCAGCTTTCTTTTATCAACTGCAGCAAGACGGTGCCTGACAGAAAGCAGAGGAGTAATTACCTCCCAGTCTCAGGCTCCCATCACCTTTTCCTTTGCATTTATAAACTAAATCCAAAATAAACACTCAGCATAAAACCCAACCCCTTCGCTGGCAGCACCGTGACGTTGTTTGGACAGAGTGGAAGTATTTGTATTTCAAGGACATTTGGAAATATTGGGCATAAATAACATTTGTGGAAACAATCTGGAGTGACAGATTCTGAAAACCAAAGGACAAAACTTCATGTTTAACCAAACGGCTGCTGAAAGCTCTAATCACTGTCAGTGCATAATTAAGGGGGATAAAATAAAGCCAGGTTTGCATGAATTTAGAAGACATGAAGTTACAATTGCTACACATTATTCAAGTCTCTTAACTGTTCCTCGTTATGTTAACAAACGCATGGGCAGCCCAACATTAAAATTCAACACTATCCCTCAGCAGTTTACTGACACATTGTGAAATTGAGGAACATTATTCTTAGATATGTGCAAACAACTTCTTTTCCCCCCTTGCTTTTCTATTTTGTAAGTTCCAGCCTAAAACCTGCTTTCTTCTTTTCCCAGCCAGTTCAAAGGGGCATTTCCCTAGGGCACTGTTCCTGCTCTGACTGAACTCTCAGCATGTGTTAGGCCTTTTAGAAAGAAGAATTATTTTGTTTTATGAAGCACATCTTTAAATTCCCATTTTACCCCAGTGAAATAAACCAAATTGTGAATTTCTTAAGAGCTGCAGCACTTTAGCAAACATACACTAATAAGCTGTTTTACAGGCGAGAGATCACAGAATACTGGTATATTCTCCTCAGTTACTTAGCTTTATAGAGTTCAATCATAAAAACCTTATATAGCTTTAGAGATGAGCTGTAAAAAATAGAAATGGAAGGAGCATCTCTCATTTACTTGAATCCACATCTGAGGGCAGAAGACACTATCTCAAGAAGATTTCCACGTATTAGATCTTATGGATCAAGGGTTAACATCTAATAATACAAACCCAAAACCTTCCAGTTCAAAGTGTCATCTCAGGACAATTTCTCATTGCACTGAAGTAACAACACCTTTTGTGAGGAAACTCTGAGGAAGACAGTGGAACGCTTCCAGCCTGCTAACCAACAAATGATAATAAGAAAGAGCCTTAAAAATCGCATTAAGTATGTTAAGTGACTGGCACTGCTGACTCAGAGAGCACTAATAACATCCTGCTCTGCTGTCTCTCACTACTGCACTCATTTGTTAAGTATCATCCTAGCTTTAAACACATCTGCAGTCTCCTGCATGATATGTCCATCTGATCCCACTGATAGGAACAAGCTGTTGTCTACCCGAGTAATACCATCAATTTCGAGGGAAAACAGGCTCTTCCTATACAGAGCAGTCATTAAAGAGCTTAATAACCACAGCAGAGTGCACAACTGTGTCCTGACACCAATGCTTTGTTACCCACTTTTGACACCAGAGGACACCAACCCCAGCCATAACCAGTTGCATCTTACCCTGGGCATGGCTGGCCATAGTCGGCCAGAGGCTGAGGATGCTCTTTCCTCTCTGGCCCTCCTGAATCCACCACAATGAGAGACTGGGACAAACTCCTCTCATCTTGCAGCGCTGCTGACATGGAGTCCACCGAGCAGTTGCTCACGATGCTGGACCGGGATGAAATCTCACTGTGGCTGGAGTCTGAGAAGTTATCGGATTTAGTGGAAGGTATGAGGGCATAGCCTGGAGAAGAGATCATCTTGGTCAAGGAGCAATTCAAGTTTACTAGGTATGACATTGAAACACTGACACACATTGCAGCAAGGATATTTAGAAGAAAAACCAATTGAACCCTCTTTGCATACCATCAGCCCACTGAAGTTTTTGGGGTACTAAACCTTTCAGCACCTATCGGCATCTAGCACTGATTTAACAACGTGAGTCTAGTGACTCCAATAACCTACCTGCAACTCCACTACTCTCCAGAGCAGCAGGTTAAACCTACATAACCAGGATTGACAGTTGCAGCATGAAGAGTGAGTGGATACATCAGGTCTTGCCCATCCTTCCCTGTAGTCCTCTAGTACAAATGCAGTATATTTCCTGCTATCCTTCTGCTCTACTGTCGTATGAGACTCAAAAAAGATTTTGGCAGTGGATGAGGAGATGCTGACTAAGGTAAAAGGCAGCTATTAGCACTCAGGGGTTAGCCATATGGTCCGTGTTGGATTTATTACCTGTTCCAAAATTAACAGAGAAGGAAGCAAAAGCAGGAAATACAGCTTTGGCAGGAGCTGGATCAGACACCAGCACTGCTTCTGCAGAGGGGAAACAGCTGGAGACCTCACCACATTGAGAGCAAAATATATAATGCATTTTGTCTGTTTGGCTTAGGCTTACCCTCAAATCACTTCCTTTAAACACAAATCATGTTATAGCCCCATGTATCAAACACCTCCTCTTCCTAGTACTTGGAGTGAACGTAAGAGACTACTACAATGGGGACTTCCATAGGCTCTGGCTGCAGACACCCTGGAGACACTTCTGCTGGTATACCTAAAGTAATTCCAGATGGGACACCTGTCTCCAGACTGCTTCAGAAGAAGCTCTTAGGATGGAAAACTTGCCTGAATAATTCTTTTTATGACCTTAGAGAATCAGAGGAAGAATTGAAATGAACATAACTCAGCAAAGGCAACAAGTTATGTTTTTTTCCCCTTCTTCTGAGGGCAAAAATTCCCAGATTAATGAAATTCCCAGTGGATTTCTCTACGGCAAATCCACTGCAGGTCAGGAAATACATCCCTGCCTTCACTAGGAGCAGTCTATGATTTGCCTTACATTATGTGAGTATCTCCCGAGAGGACGCCTTGAAC